GTGTGTGTGTGTGTGTGTGTGTGTGTGTGTGTGTTTATATGTATTTGTATGCATAGCATGAGAAATTGATAACAGTGATTGCCTCTAGTGAGATACTGGGTAGGTTTACCATGTAATTTATTGTTTAAAGCAGGTCAATTCTGAGACTATAAGAGGGCATTATAAATAATTATTCTAGAGCAATAGGAATAAATTCATATTGTACTGGTAAGTCAGGACATACAATTCCCCTAGACTGGGGGACTAGGGCTTGGACATTAAGGGTTTGGAGCAGACTTGCTTTTCACTCTATTATATGTTGCTCTTCCCCTATTCTTTACTATTTTTTCAAGTAAAAAGAGCCCTAGAAAAGGGAATGGATATTCAATCTACACTGAAGTCAGGATGGAGAATGTCAAAACAACTTTTAATCATTTTTGCCTTTCTATCATTATCATTAAGGAAGAAATATAGCTACTGTTGCTAAGATTAAGGACAAATCTGGATGTTGAAAATTTTATCCAGTAAACTTATTAACAATGATAACAGCCAAACAACCTGTAAGGCTAAGCAGTCAATATAAATGAAGAAACAGATGTAGAGTTCAGGCTATTGATTTGTCAGACATATGAGTAAGCTCCAGTGCTGTTACTGTTTCTTAAGTGTCCTACATAAGAGCTTGTTGCTCTTTCTTAACCTGTCCTTCAACGAACAGTGAAAAGTTTCAGAGTGTGGGTAAACTAAACACAAACATACTAGCTCTATTATGTTATCCAGCTTAATGTTTGTTTCAGTCACATTGATTTAAAATTAGGACATAACGTTAACGATTGTAACATCACAGTTTGATAACCTGGAGAAAATTATGTTATGTGGTTAGTGAATCAGATGAAACAATGGCGACAGACAATCATTGGATGTCTGTTACATGCAATTCTTTATCTCAGAACTTAACACGCATTAACTCATTTCATCTTTTTTTCAAAAACAAAAGCCTGTAAGAAATAGGTACCGTTAGAACTTGCATTTCATAGATGAAGAAAGCTGAGTTGCAAAGAAGTACCTTAAAAGATCACATGGCTATTATGTTACAAAGTCAAATTTCGAACCCATCAATAATCCCAGAGCCTGTGCTGTTGAGCAAGATGCTGCATTGTCTGCTGGGCCTGGGTTGACAGCTAAGAGACAAGTTCCAATTCCAAATCAGCGACTTCCATGTTTTACAAACTTAAACCAAGACATGGAATGTGACAATGGGTTAATGTTTCATGGGGTTTCCCCCATGAAATGCAAGTTGTGGAGTTGCTGTGACTAAGTAGGATGTCACTTAAATTCTTTGGTTTCTATTGCTTTTTTTTTTTTTAGATTTTTATTGGGGCATTGGGGGGATGGGAACAGTGCTGGGGAATTGGGGGAAGGGGAACAGACAAGTTGCTGTCCTTTTGTTCTTCAGTCTAGTTGTGGAGGACGTTGCTTCACTGGCCCAAGTTGGCGCCATCATTGTGCTCTTCCCAAGAGAGGCAGATCAGTCGCTGGCTTCTGGACGGTCGCTCACTGCGGCTGCTGGCCGTTCACGCTGGCTGCTGGCTACACACGGTAGCCCAGGGCAACCCACCACCACAGGAGCTGCAGCCTACACCGTCACCGGCTACTCACAGCAGCCCAGCTCCAGTTTGAGCTGTTGCTCAGCATCTTAGCTGTGGAGGGCAGTGTCACTGGCCCTCATATGTGGGATCCGAACCGGGACCTTCTGGCGTCCCAAGCCAGTTCTTAACCATCATGCCACTCGGCCGGCCCTGGTTTCTATTTCTTACCAACACACTGGGAGAGGCGCACTAGATGATTTCTATGGCTTCACCTGCTTTATGATAATAGGAAACCCTCCTATGTACAAGGCACTCTTTAACATGCTTTACAAATATTAATTTGTCTATTCTTCCTAACAGCCCTAGGACACAGCATTGTTATTCCCAGAGGTGAGCAGAAAAGGCCCAGAGACTATATTCCTTGCCCTAGATTACCGTATTTCCCCATGTATAAGATGCTCTCATGTATAAGACACACCTGAATTTGGGGGCCCAAAATTTGAAAAAAAAATGTATTCCATAAAGTTATTGAACTCAAGTTTTACTCATCATAAAATTCATACAACTCCTCATCATTGTCAAAACTCCCAACCATTAGCTTGTCCTCATCTGTGTCTGATGACAAATCACTGTCTTCATATATTTCCTCGTCCTCAGCTCGAAATGCGACAAAAAAAATCTACAACCACTGTATAAGACGCATCCAGTTTTTAGACCCCAAATTTTTCAAAAAAGGGTGCATCTTATACATGGGGAAATACGGCAAAGAGCTAGTAAGGTTCCAACCCAGGCGGTCTGGCTTCCAAGTCTGTGTTCTTAACCACTCTGCTATGCGGCCTCTTATTATAAACCTAGAATAAATTATAGTCCAAAAACATGAATTACAAAATATAGAGTAAGTCTAGAATAAAAGAAGTTTTCCCCAGAGACAGACTTTCTTCCAGGTAGCAAGCAGGTTTTTGTGTTGATACTTCTTTATGCTTCTTGTGTTAAGATTTAGAATCTGCAGCTTGATCTCCCTGGAGGCACAAGGCAGGACCCATCTTCTCCCATCCCCCTCCCTTCCCCCAACACCCAAACTCTCCCTAGTCTGCTGTGTTCCTTCTGCCTGGCCTTCGGACTGACTGAGAACTTCAGGAAATCATGGGGATAAAAAAGTAGACAAGGCAAGGTAGAAAACAAGATGTTTTCACAACTCAGATATAGGGCAGTAAATTAAAGGAGAAAGAGACAAGCTGAAAAATGTTTCTCTTATCTGGTTTTCTCCTCCTATCTAGGTTTCTTACCCTCATCCCACAAATACACATGCGTAGCAGCTTGGTATGGAGACAAACTCCTGCTGAGGACACCATTTCTTTTAAAATCACTATTCACAGTATTCAGCTCAGTGCCAACCTTCATTCCCCAAATACACATTAGAACCCTGAGGGTGCCCGACCCTGATCCAGGTGTTGTGGCCTTACAAAGGAAAGTGAGACAATTTCTGGACTTTGGGGACTTAGACAGCATGCCTATGCTCACAGCTCCTGGCTGACTCCTTGAATACGCTACTCCACGTTTCTTTTTTATTAAACTTGTTGGGGAACAGTGTGATTTTCCCAGAACTCATTAGCTTCAAGTCAAGTTGTTATCCTTCAATCTTAGTTGTAGAGGGCGCAGCTCAGCTCCAAGTCCAGTCGCCGTTTTCACTCTAGTTGCAGGGGGTGTGGCTCACCATTCCATGCGGGAGTCGAACCGGCAACCTTGTTGTTAAGAGCACGCACTCTAACCAACTGAGCCATCTGGCCACCCACCAGCAGCTCAGCGGCAGCTCAGCTTGGGCGGAGCTCACTGGCCCATGTGGGAATCAAACCAGCGACCCTGTTGCTCAGAGCTCACAGTCTTAACCAACTGAGCCACTCCGCTGGCCCAATTTCTAATAATAACAGTTTCCATATATTGAACCCACGCTATAGATGATACAACTGATTCCCTACTAATAAATTAAGATTTAAACCAAGGTCTCATGATTTTTTCATGATGTCCTCTTGCAGTGTCAGCTTTGCTTTACTTTCCTGTGAAATGGAGTTAATTAATGCCAGCCTCTAAAGCAATGAGATGGGCCACATGGAAACGTGCATGGTTCAGAATCAAGTACACATATTCACAGACTAAATGCACTAAATGGTGGTTCTCATTTTTATAAAAAAGATATAACACAGGGTCATGTAGAAGTGTCTGAAGTGCTACATGAGTCAAGAGGAGGGAGGAAATTTTCCCAACCGGACAGGCTCTGGTTTTGTGGTATTCGAATGGGGCCTTGAAAGATGAAATAAGCTTGGGTGTGTTGTAATGATAGGTGGGGGTGGGGAGTAGAAAACGTTTTCTAGGTGAATTTTAAAGCATGAAAATAGAAATTGTCATGGCCACATATGTATCTTAAGTGGGTTTTTTTTAAAGCCTCAGATTTTCAAATATTCTAAAAGAACTAGAATATCCTACAAGAACTTGCTTTTGAGAGAAAGAGCAAACAAACCACGAATTCTAGATTAAATGGAATTATACCCACAGAAAAGGGTGACTGTCTGCTCTCTTTACTAAATAATACCTTCATTCTAGACAAGGAGGACAGAGGCTGTGTAGTAAGACTTCTAAAAAGGAGTGATAAATGTCATTATAGAAGAGGCCAGACTGGAACAAGTCTGGGTATGAGACTTCCCAGCCAGTCTCATGCTACTGCTTTTCATCACCTTCTGAGTGCCCTCAGACCAAGCCCCCTAGACAGGATCAGTTCTGAAAGAGTGAGCACACTCTGTCTGCTAGTCTGGTTCCAGTTGAACCATCATATATACATACATGTAAGTGGAAAAACTTTTTATGTTACTTACGTATAAAAGTAGTGGATTTTTCTGACATATCTCCCTGTCTGCAGACAGACAGACCTTAAATGTGGATGGGAAAACAGAACTCTTACAAACCACAGAGATGTTAAACATGGCTATGCTGTACAAAGTATGCAACCTAAGAGCTTACTTTCATTTTTTTAAGTGCAGTTTCTATTTAAGAGGCTCAACTGTAAAATATGGAAGAAGTCATTTGTTAGTCACTTTCATATTTTTTCAAGTACAATAAAATAGACACAAACCCAGTTAAGAGTAAATCAAGCAAGATAAGCAGAGAAACAGTGACAAGAAAGGGAAAAGGTAAGTTGTGACAAACAAAAATAAGCATGCCAGCCTAAGACAACCCCAAAAAATGTGTGTGTACAAGAGCCCTCCCCGTCAAGAAACTCTCACAACTTATTTTGCCATAGAGGAAGATAAGTGTTACAATATCTCACTAACCAATCAGCAACACTGCAGGTCTCAAACCAGGAAACCCTTTAAAGTGTAGTCTTTTAAACTGTGCAAGTGTGACTTCTGGTTCTCAGCTAGTTTTTGTTCCCTATGCTTGCAGGATGGAAAAACAGATGTGAAGTCTCTCATGGCGAAGTTTAACACAGGAGGCAACCCGACAGAGGACGTCTCGGTCAACAGCCGACCCTTTAAAGTCCCGGGGCAAAATTCACCTTCAGGAGTACAAGCCAAAAAGAACTTATTCAACAACCAAGGAAATGCCAGCCCTCCACCAGGACCCAGCAACCTACCAAAGTTTGGGTCTCCAAAGCCACCATTGGGGGTGAAAACTTTTTCTGAGGAAAAGCCTGACAAGGAGCCCAAGCCCCCATTTTTAAAGCCCACAGGAGTGGGCCAAAGATTTGGATCACCGGCAGCCTCGGCCACCAGAGACCCTGAGGTGAAAGCGGGATTTCTGAAACCTGCAGGCCCCAAGCCAACCAACTTGCCCAAGGAAGATTTGAAACCCGTGTTTCCCCGGCCTCCTGGGAACAAGCCTTCGTTTCACAGTATAAACCAGGACCACGACATAAAGCCCCCAGGCCTGAAGCCTGGGTTTAATCCTCCAGCCCAGGAAAATGAACAGAAGCAAGTCTTCCCAAAGTTGTCTGGGATTCAAGGCAAGTTTGTGTCAGCTTCACAAGATCATGACCCCAAGCCCCACTTTCCCAAACCTGTCTTTGGCCAGAAGTCATCCCTGAGTGTCGATGGCCCCCATGAAGTCGAGAATCCCACCAAGAATGCATCTCCACAGAGGGGAGTCAAGCCCAAAATTGCCCCTTTAAAACCACCAAGGGAAGATTCAAACAATAAAGATCATGGAGGCGAGACGTCGAGTTCGCCTTTTCCTGGAGTGGTTCTGAAACCTGCTGCAAGCAGAGGGGTCCCAGCTCTGTCCAAAAATGCAGAAGAGAGAAAGGAGGACAGAAAGATAGATGCTGCTAAGAATGTATTCCTGAGCAAAATAAATCAGGAAGAGTCCACCTCTGGGGCTCCTCCTGCCAAGTTCCCTAAGACACCTTCTAAGGTGACAATGACAGGGCCTTGGGGCCAAAGTCAAGAAAAGGAAAAAGAAGACAAGAATTCAGCTGTCCCTAAGCAGAAGCCCCTGCCTCCCTTGTTTGTCTTGGGGCCACCACCACCAAAACCCAACAGACCGCCAAATGTTGACCTGACGAAATTCCAAAAAGCTACTTCTGGAAACAGTAAGTTCTCTCATTTTCTATTTAACATGTTTTGTTCAACAGCAGAGGGTGTTTTCACTACAGGGAAGTTTGTAACAAGGAATGAGTCCATCACTGGTACTTCTGTGTATGTGATGACTTTCTTTGTCATTATTTTTATTTGGTGTGGGAGGTCTGAGAAGGCAGAAATCCTTAGTTCTGTGTCAGCAATCCGTGAGAAAATGCCTGTTGGGCTGCTTTTGGAGAGTATGTGGGGTGGGAGGAACACATCCATTTGCTTGATAAGTGGCTTGCTTAATGATAACCATGTCGTTTACTTCCTTAGTTTGGTTTCATTTCGGTTGAATGAAGGCTGTGTTGTGTTACTCCTACTACCACAAAGGAGTTAGATGGAAAGATGAGTGAAACCCTCAGGCAGTGATTCTCAAATGGGACAATTTTCACACTGGGGGACACATTTGGCAATATCTGAAGGCACTTCAGTTTGTCATTACTGAGGTAGGAGGGGAATTCCACTGACATCGCTTGGGTAGAGACCACAGATGCTGTATACATCCTACAATGCACAGAACAACCCTTCGCAACAAAGAATTATCTAGTCCCAAATGTCAATAGTAAGAGGTGCAGAAACCCTCCTCCAAGTGATTGTAAGTGCCCACAACTTTATCATATCCTAAGCGCAATATTCAAACAAGAAATCAACAGGGCTCTTGTGAAATGAGACTTTCTGTTTTATATTTTAGCTGTTTTGTATTTCTCAGTATACAGTTTTCTGAACTTCTGTTTTCTTAGCCTTCTGCCTGAATTCTGCCTTTCTAGGTTCACATCCAATTCCTTAAACCTCTTCCTCAGACTACCCTCCATCTTTATCATCTTTGTCCAATATATTAACCATTAAAAATATTTATCATTTATTGAGGAATTGTTATATATCAGATACACATTACCCTATTAATTGCAATGAAATAGCAATCCTGTGAGGAAATAAAGTTCACAGAGGTTAGGCAACTTGCCCAAGGCCGTACGGTGACTGAGCAGGGGCAGAGCCTGTCCTTCCTCTTGTCTCTCTGATTCCAGAGCCCATACCCCCATCACCACCCCCCTCTCTTGAAACAAGATAGCATGAGATAATAAATTAAGCATAAGTGAAACCCAAAGAATCCTCATTCTTCTCCCTTTCTTTGTCCTTTGGTTGAAACAAGTTATTTTTTTAAATTATTATTTTAAATACCACTGTAAGCTCCATGAAGACAGGGGCCAGTCTGCTTAACATGATTTCTTTGGGGTGTAGAAATAATATGTTATTGTTAGTTGCTCAGGTTTGTCCTCCCACCAAAACCTATTTAATTAGAATTTAGTATTCATACTCTCTATAGCTTAGCAATTACTTTTTTTTTTAAACAAATTCAATAACTCCTGCCAATAGGCTCACTCTCAATTGAATGGAGCGTCTATGTAAAACGATTATCAAGCACAGGGTCTATGTGTTAGATCTAGTCAGCTTACTTTCTCGCAAACCATGAGCTTGAATATAACATGTTGGTTTTCTGAATGTGGAGCTAATAACTCAGAACCATTTAAAGTTACAAAAAGCAAAACTTTTTAAAAATATCTAAAGCATCATAACGTCCTCTGAACTAACCTTTTCTCTGGTTCCTTTTGGTTTCCAGGCCAGTTGTGAAAGGACTTCCTCCCAAGCATCACTGTGTATACCTGGCCAGAAAAGTTTGGTTGTTAAGAACCCCTGGCCTAGACTGCTAGTTTGCATGTAGGTGTTAGTAAAACCTGCTGGGAAATTTCCCGCCAGCCCTTTGTCTGGTCTTGTTCTTAACACTGGAGAGAAACTAAGACTCATCCTATGTTGGCTTTAAGAATGACCAGTTAAGCCTCTTGACAATGGAAGGGGTAAGGCCAGGCTCCCAGCAGCATTAACATTGGGCTAACAGTGTGACTGACCCCTTTCTCATCTGCTTATGTGTCACTTTAATCCAGTTTACAGCAATTTGAAACCAAAAGGTGTTGGGACTATTTTCACCAGCAAGTAGCTTGTTTCTAGGAGTGGGGCAAAGTATTCCTTCATAGACCCTGAAGTGATGGCTTTTCCCTTTACCCTTTGCTCACCTTGTATATGTACTCTCTGAAAATTACCTTCTTAGAGATTTTTATATCAAGTTTTATGTCAGTGTGTTGCTCCAAGCCGTGACAGGAAACAGAGATTCTATGCTCAAACATATTTAAGAAATTCAGGGCTGAGTGGATTCTGTACAGCAGGATTGCTACACGCATTGACATGCTAATGTTTGCTTGGAATCGAAGAACAAGGTACCTAAAAAGCAGATACTTTTTCTGAAACATCTCATAGACTGGGCTAGGTCAGAACAGTGGAAAACAGGAGACAAAGCTCTATGGTGCGTAGCGTGGCATTGGAAGTTCCTCTAAAGGATGGCTTATGGCTCAGTTTCAGGTGGTAATGGGACCCTGCACATGCCATCCGCTCTCTCATGCTCCAGCTGCCTGGTGTACACTCTATGGCTGGTGTCCACCCTTCCTTTTAGCTCCAGCCTGAGCCCAATCGATTTCACTCTCCTTCCTAAATCCCTGGGAAAGTAGTTTTCCATAAGACCTGTAGGTCTTCCTTCAATTCCAGGTTGAAACTTCTCTTGAACCACTCCATGTTCATTTGGCAGCTTACATGGGTTTAACTCTGTGATGGAGATGCTTCTGGAAGAGCCTACCCTCCGCTAGCCACACCATTCCCTGGTCAGACCTCAAGAGCTTCCTAGCCTCTGTCTTCTAAACTTCTCTCTTCTGCTCTTCTAAGAGAAACCAACTCCTCAGTCTAAACCAGTGGTTCTCAACCTTCCTAATGCCCCGACCCCTTAATAGAGTTCCTCATGTTGTGGTGACCCCCAACCATAAAATTATTTTTGTTGTTACCCTATAACTGTAATTTTGCTACTGTTATGAATCATAATGTAAATATCTTTTTGTTTTCCGATGGTCTTAGGCGACCCCTGTGAAAGGGTCGCTTGACCCCCAAAGGGTTCACAACCCACAGGTTGAGAACCGCTAGTCTAAACCCTATTGAAAAGCCTGTTCTCTGCTATATTATATTCCAACCGCATTTTATGGAATTTTTTTAATCCAATGTTTTTATCATTTTTATAAGCGATCTACATAGTCTTTATTTTTATATTCTGGCCTTTTGTTTTACTGAGGAGAAGTCTGAGACCACCCTAAATTCTGCCCCCTTCGAAAATGATTTGCTTTCTGCCTGGATTCCCAAAGAAATCTCTGTCCTTACGGTTTACAAACTTAGCCAAGCTATGTCTGTGTCAATCATTCTGTCATCAGTATTTTCTGAGAGATGTTCATCTTTGCTCTCAGGGATTTTCTGTCCCATATGCATAGGGGTCACACCATTTCTTCCGATCTGCCTCATGGATGACAAATGCATCTACTTGCTTTAACCCAGTGTGATATAGGAGTCTTCCCCTGAGAACTGTGATTTGAGCCCTGACTAGTACTTTTAATCCATTCTTCTGTGGAGTGAAAGATAGCTATGCTGGTCTTGAGGGCACTCCTTGATGGACATCTGGATTCTGTTCCATTTTCTGAGACCTCATTCAGTGTCCTGTACCATGGCAAGGCCAACCATGACAGCTCATCCACCTTCTGCCTTAGGTATGATCTTACTGTGGTATTTTGGGCTTTCATGCTATAGATTTTTCCTTGACTTTGCCCAGGTTGCTCACTCACCTTTGAGTTCACCTCTCCAACTTGGAGCATGTTAGGGAGAATTCTCAGGTTTTTCTAGAATCACTGTCTACCCTCAGGATGCTTCCGAGCCTGGAGAACTAGTGGTGGGCTTCACTCACCTCCTGTGGCACCAGAACCTTCTGTATCCTCCCTTAGACATCACTTTTCAAAGTTTATCCAACGAGGTTATTTTCCTTTTCTTGTGTCGTAACCACTAGTGAGTTTGAGATCATGTTTATCTTGCCATATTTTGTGTTTTTACTACTTTATTTTGGGAATTGGAGGAGGACCATCCTGGAACTTCCTTCCCTCATCACTTAATACCAACTAAAAATTTTCATTATAATCCAGGGGTTGGCAATATTTCCAAAGGGACTTCAATTTACCCTTCCACAAAGGCAGGCAACGAGATGGCTGAAAGGAAGCACACATGAGTTGAATGCCCACAGGCAGCCTTGTTTCATAGCCTCTGGACTATGCTCACTGCTCCAGGATGCTTGGATGACCCCTCCCTAACCCCTCCCCAAGTCTCCTGTTCTGAAAAGTCTTCTGGGCGCAATCAAGGTGGGATAAGAAAGAGATCCAGCTACCTAATGGGTGCTTCACCTCTGGACTGTTGATAACACCTGACCCCTGCTAACCTGTAAATTCCCTAAAAGCAGTTACATTTTAAGACTTCATCAGCCAATCAGTTTACACTTAGACGAGGAGAGGAACAGAACACTGGATAGGAAAATGAGCCAACAAAAGGAGAAGTCTACTGGGCTGACCTATGGGGAAGGCAAATTTCTTCTCTTCCCGGCCTAAGTCATTTTGCCATTGAAAAGTCCTCTCAGCATATTTAGGTTCCCGGTTCCCAACTCAATCTGGTCTTCAAATTTTTTGCTTAATTGCTCAGGCACCAGCTAGTCTTTTAATATTAATTTTAGCCCAATAATACTCCACACATCATTTAATTTACAGGGAAGCATTTTCTTACAGAGATACTCACCCTGCTTGTACAAGGGACTGTCACATTTTTTAGTTACCAGAGGAAAAATTTCTGTAAGACCTAGTTTCGAGCAACATACCATGATTTACCCTGTTGTAACAACTCTTTTCTGTGATCAAAAGCCAGAGGTTGATATATTTTTAAGCTGCTTACAAAGGAAAACATGGAAATATTGCCCAGTTAACATTAGTAGCATTTGTGCTAGATCAAGGACAATATGGCCACTGGTAACGTAAATAGATATTTTGTGACTTACCCTTAAATAAAGTAT